TTAATAGGTATTTATCTTATATGAATTGGAATGAAATCCTGAATGTTTCTAATGTTAATGAGGCTTTAACCAAATTTTATGATGTTGTATATTATGTTATTGATATTTATGTTCCCAAATGTAGATGTAAAACTCCTAAATTTCCAAGATGGTATAATGCTGAGCTCAAAAGCTTGATATTTCAGAAGAAGAATGCTCACAAGCAATACAAAAAGACTAGATCGTCTGCAGATTATCAAAAATTTTCTTTCCTGCGACATCAATGCAGAAAAAAAGCTTCTACAAGTCATTCAGAATATATTGCCAAACTTGAAAATGAAGTTATAAATAAAAAAGAGTTTTGGAGATTTATTAACTCAAAAAGAGATGGCTTAAATTTACCAAATGCTTTGCACTTGAATGACTCAACCAGTAACTCCATGGAATCTACTATTCATCTGTTTGCTGAGCATTTTTCTTCCACTTATACAGGTAACAATGAGACTGATACAAATGGCGGTGAGGGCGAAGACAAAAGTTTAAAGTTATTTTTAGATTTTGAATACTGTAATATTACCAGTTTAGATGTTCTTAATTCCATAGGAGAGCTAGACAACAACTTAGGTTGTGGACCTGATGGCATACCTGTTGAATTTTTGAAGGACACAAGATTTGTATTATCCAATATATTGCCCATGTTGTTCAATCTTTCTTTGTCAAGTGGAGTTTTTCCAGATGTATGGAAGCGAAGTTATGTAACACCCATCTTCAAAAATGGTGACAGATCTGATGTAAAAAACTACAGAGCAATTTCAAAAAACTCAATTCTGTCCAAAATGTTGGAATCTTTTGTAAACAAATGCCTATACCCACTGCTTTCATCTCAGATAATCCCAGAACAGCATGGATTTTTAAGAGGAAAATCCACTATAAGTAACTTGGTAGAATATCAGCAGTTTGTAGTTGAAGCTATGGAAGAACGTTCCCAAGTGGATTCTGTGTACACAGACTTTACAAAAGCTTTTGATAGAATAAATCATTCAGTTTTAATTAAAAAAATTGAGGCAATGGGTGTTCACGGAACTCTGCTGACTTGGTTGAGCAGTTATTTATCTGGTCGAACACAGGTTGTGAAAGTGAAAAATTTTGTGTCGTCAATAATCAATGTATCTTCCGGTGTGCCTCAGGGAAGCCATCTATCGCCTATGTTATTCAACTGCTTTATAAATTATCTGCAGGACTGTATTCGTTTCAGCAAAATTTTATTGTATGCAGATGACTTGAAGATTTTTAAGGTTGTTTGTTGTGAAAGTGATTGTCTAAAACTTAAAGAAGGCCTACAAAGCTTTGCTATGTGGTGTCAGTCTAATAAGTTGGAACTTAATGTAAGTAAATGTTGTACAATCAGTTTCTACCGATTGAAGGTACCCATTGTATACTCCTATGTATTAAATAATCAGGAACTGATTAGAGAGGAGATCATAAAGGACCTTGGGGTGATGATTAATAAAGAATTCACATTTGGACCTCACATAGAATACCTAAAAAATAGGTCGATTAAATTGCTTGGGTTTGTCATTCGTTCACTGAAAGATTTCAATAACATATATGCATTGAAAAATGTTTACTGTGCAGTAGTCAGATCTGTCACTGAATATGCTTGTCCTGTATGGTCTCCCTATTATAAAAAATGGATCGATGAAATTGAGAGAGTCCAAAAAAAGTTTCTGCGTCATGTAGGATATCGACTAAATATTCCAAGAGATGAACTTCAATATAGTGACATATTGGCTCTCTTGGAAATATCGTCACTGGAAAAAAGAAGATTGTATTTTGATCTATGCACATTGTTCAGGGTTTTGAACGGTTTAATTGTTTCACCGGCATTATTGCAACTAATTAATTTTAAGGTACCAACAAGACAAACTCGACAAAATATAACCTTTGGTGTATCCTCCCATGTAACAAATTATGGTTTTTATTCACCATTATCTAGAATATGCAGAGAAGCAAATAGGCTTCCACCTACTGTTGATTTTTTTAACTCCTCTTTCAATAAGTTTAAGATAGACATTAAGAATTACTTAAGTTTAATGTAAATGAATGTTATTGTAAATGGTCTTTGATCGTTAATAAATTATTATTATTATTATTATTATTATTATTACATTTTTGGTGTCTGCGGATCATGATGTGTACGAAAACGTCAAATTTTAACATTTTTGAAAAAATTTCAGAACTCTGGATGAAAATTTATTTTTGAACAGGAAGTGACGGAGCGGTCTTAAAATTGTTATTTTCAACCAACACAATCGTAGAAAAATGCGAATGCCAAGTTATTATCCTATGCTTGTTCTCCAAAGGCTTCCAAAGCTGAAAAAATCACATTTTACGTGATAACTCAATGAAATCAGTGAAATCACCCGACTTTCATAACAAATGTTTTTTACCTTTTTCAAAATAAAACCAACTATGCATTAAAACTTTTTATTCATGCCAGTTTTTAATTATTTTTCCAATATTTTTACTATGCATTACTATAACTGATAAAACTACTTATAAATAAACCCCTGTATTCAAACTTTGTATTTACAAATTCCCGAGATGTCAAACAATGACAAATAAACATATCTTGCCCACAGTCCACAGATCCTGTCAATGGCTTGTCAAGAAAAAAAAAACACCAGCTCCTTTTGGAAAGCGTTCTTCATACAGAGGTTCATTTATAAGTAGTTTTATCATTTATAGTAGGGCATTAAAAAATAATAATAAAATAATCAAAAACTAACATAAATGAAAAGTTTCAATGCATAGTTGGTTTTATTTTGAAAAAGGTAAAAAACTCTTGTTGTGAAAGTTGGGTGATTTCACTGATTTCATTGAGTTATCACGCAGAATGTGATTTTTTCAACTTTGGATGCCTTTGGAGAGCAAGCAAAGGATAACATCTTGGCACTCGCATTTTTCTACGATTCTGTGGGTTGAAAATAACAATTTTAAGAACGCTCCGTCACTTTCTGTTCAAAAATAAATTTCCATCCAGGGTTCTAAAATTTCTTCAAAAATGTTCAAATTTGACGTTTTCGTACACATCATGATCCGCAGATACCAAAAATGCGAAAAAATTATTGGGATGCCATTCAAAATTACAGAGTTAGGACCATTTCCGGTCAAACCGGAAGTGACACACATATGTCAAAATACGACGTTTCTCAAACCTACACTCTATACCAAAAATCTTTGCCATCGAAAAAAAAAACAGCAAATGCCAGTGCGAAACTGATCTTGTAGACACCCAGTATAGTCTAGGAGGCAGTGAAGATTTTCGGTACTCATTTTCCCAGTCACGAAACATGGATAGAATTGTAGGGTTAGTAATTCTAAGCAAAAGTCATATATTTTTAGGGGGGGTTTTCCGATGGGTTGAGGCGCAAAATGCGTTAGAGCTTACGAATGCACAGCCCTTTTTTTTCCAGTGATAAAACTAAGTCAACTAATCAGAATTATACTGAAGTTACGTATAAAAATAGTCCGGCTTATCTGTGAGTATGGATAATATGTCTGGCAAGTGAAAAATTGAAGATCTGAAAAACTTCAGCCAGACTAACTTTCCACTATCTGAGATGAGCCAAATTGCTATGTTCATATACTTTATGTTCTATTGTAGTGGATGTGGAATATTTATGACTTGGAAAATAAGTGTACTTGTATTTTTCATTGATCTAGTGAACCCATCTGCAAACTTTTGCGAAACTCAAATATTCTTGTTTTGTATCACCAAGAGAACAAACTATTTAATATACACCAACTGGGAAAATAAGTGCAAAAAAATTACACTGCCTCCCGGACTAATATGCTTGCGCACTAAAGTTCATTTCACCAAACGAGAAAGTGACAGTAAACAAACTTTGACAGGTAAGTCGAATTTTATTGGCTAGAGGAGAATTATACTCCGCCCAAGGCAGGACCGTCCTAGGTTGTTTTGTATTTCTCTTCGCTGAATATATTTCTGAACAAATTCTTCAGTGGAATTTGTTGAACTTGATTTGATATTGTTTTAATCTAAATTGCTCACTAATTAACAATAATTCACCAAACACTATTTAAATAATTGTAAAATACTAGGAAATACTTATTGACTCATATGACCATATGACAACCTGACAATAATAAATGTCATTAGTTGTAATTTATATTTTTGCATTCCTTCTCTGAATTTTTAAGCTCCGCCTGTTTGTTTACCTCTACTATCTCGTTTGGTGGAATGAACTTTAGTATTTTTTGCACAATGCATAATCAATAATTCGTAAAAGTTAAAAGTTAGTCAACTTTATGAATTACGCATTATGCACTAAATTATCCACTATCCACTATGCGTTGTATAAACAGGTGTATTTAAATATGAAGTTTTAAAAATTATCGATTATGAATTAAAATTGTGCATTATGCATTAAGTTGGCTAAACCCACCTGTACTCTCAAAAAGTAAAAATTACCTCTTTCACCCTGTATCTCCAAAACAAATAAGCTCGCAAATAAGTCAATTAATTTTCTGTCAGAAGTAAAAATAAGATTTCAACTCGGATTTCTATGAGCCACCCAGTATCTACTACCTCAAATGAAACAATCTAATAAATAAATACTCAAGCACTCAAGCCGAGACTCAAGCCTATAAGGTGACGAAACTACTCGCGAAAATACAAAGCGGTCTAAAGCAAACAATAACATAATTAATATTCCTGGGTAGACAATAATGACTTAATTATCAACCGAGTTATCAACCGATCGGAACATAGAAAAACGTCCCGAAATCGAATTTTTCCTCCAAAATATACAATACAAAAAGTTCAAGTGGACATTTCCACATTTCCCAGACATTAGGATAGGTCACCATAGCCAGACTTGGTGCAGTGAAGGGGGAAGACACACACACGCACACACACACAAAATCTATAATGTGACCTTAAACTTTGCATCACAAATTTGAACTTGATAAACAGACAAAATGGAAACAATTATTACCTTGGAACCGACACGCATTTCGTGTTGTGATTTTGCGAAGATATCGCCCGTTCCAGTTCTTCCAGGGCGCCGGATTTTTTCAGTTTTTTCACCAGAGATTTGACGGCTTTCTCGCACCATTTGTCATCGTCCGAGCCTTTTTTCCAGCCGAGGAGACGCTTGACCACCGGCGGCGTGAACGACGGCAACATTCCGTTCATCATCGGTGATGACTTATTAATTAAAACGCATTAAATTTGAATAGTTTCAGGGAAGGAGACCTTTTAAAAAACTTCTGCCGAATTTTATTAATTATTTGTTCTTTTATTTATTTCTTGTGACGGCCATATTGTTTTTTTTGATTTTGACAGATTTCAATTTGAATTCTTGAATCAAGAAAGTAGTAGCGAGTAAAGGGCTTTTTGAATGAAACGTATAGGACTAGTTCATTCATCGAACAAGGATGAAGATAATCTGCGACTGGTCCGTTTGTGAAGTTCAACAAAAGTATCATTTCGAAGCTTTGTTCAACACTGCAGAAATCCGAACCGAACAAATTACCCACGGATTCTGCGCAAAACCAAAAATGTATGCAGGGAATCCCAAAATTCAAAGTGGTATTTGATATCTCGGCTTCATGGGACAGTTTCTGTCTAACGTGTTGCAACTCATGGGTAGGAAGGAGTTGGAACCATTGGAACAAACCCTTTTATTCTCTTTTTTTTTATCTCAAAGGTCTCTCAACTATCCTTTAACAGCTCCGGAGCGTTATGCACTTATTCCTTTCAAAGAGTGTTTGTTGCACCACGCACCTGTTCCTTTCAAATCAGGGGCGACTAACACCGGAGCGAGTAGCTCGAGTGTTCTAAGCTCTTGAAAAGAATACAACTATTTATAGTTGCACCGTTTTCCCGCATCCACTTTTTTGTGATTCAAAACGTTTGAATCGGGCAAGGCCGCGTTCGCCAGATACAAACGTTGGTAAACGGTTTGCGATTGTTCTGCTGAACGCTACGTTGAATTTGTGTTGAAACCAAACATGTTTTGCAAACGGTCGCCATTTTTGCAAGCATAATTTCAGAGTGTTTATAATTTTCAACACTGTGTTTTGTGTGGTGACCTGTCATTCAGAGGGTGACGTTCTATCATTGAAAATTTCAATCGTTCAGCAGAACTATCAACATATTCTGTTGGTATTTGTAAACTGTTCACAATGTGTTTTGGTTCTGGTGAACGTAGCCAATGACTCTTGACAGTGGTTTGTTGACAAGAGTTTTAATACGTGTGAAGGCCCGTTCGTTTATTCGATCTCTGTGCGCACCGTGCGCTCGAAATTGCTAAATTCCGTTCGTTTATTCTATTTCGAGCGTTGGAGCGTATCGAGCTTGCTAGTACGGGAGCTGGCGACACTTTTCATTGTCCCATTTCATAAAACTTGATTTATCTTTTATTTCGTAGTATTGATATCAATGATCAAGAAAATGAACTCCTGCCACCTTGTTAGCGGGACAACGGTTGACTGCGGTATGCCAAACATGTTGAAAAAAAAAGTTCAAATGTTTGAAATAATAAAAGTTGAAACTTTACCAATTTTCTAATAACATTTAAATAAGACATAAAACGACCTCCTGCCACTTTTTCGGTAGACCTATATACTCCTGCCATAATTTTATTTACGTAAAAAAAAGTTATTAATTAATATAAATTATAAAAGTTGAAATTTTTTCTAGCATTTCATTAATAATTACGATAACTGAAAAATGTATCTTGCCAGTCATTTGATGGGACCTAGCTTCGGCAGGAGATAGTGAAGTAATAGGGTGTTGACATAAATACAGAAACAAATTTGTTTCAACACGTTAGATTCTTTTTTATTTATTTAAGCGCAAAAAATATGTAATATCGAAAAGTTTACAGACACGTATCTTCGTCAATATATTCGTAGACGCAGTTTCCACAAAAGTGGATAAATCTTTGGTCAGTTCATTGATCACAGCACCGAGCGAACTGAACTAGAACTGAACATCAGCACATCAGTCATTCATATATGGAATCTTAAAATGCCCAAGCATCTGCCTCACATCAGGTTTTTATTGTGTATAAAAGACGTCCAGGTAAGACCCTTTTTCAAGGTGCTCATTTGCTCTATGTATGTGATCACTTAATATCTACCGCATTGAGAACCTTTGGATTTGGAATTTGGAAATAGTGGATATACAGTGTGTCCAAGATAAGGATGAGGTAGCATTAGGATCTGGGGAACGGTTCGAGTAACAATGTTGGTTAGATTAGGAAAAGGTTACACAATTCAACGCTCAATAAAATGCTACTTTGACGTTTGAAAAACTCCGAACATTTTCCGAGATATCCGGAAAAACCCAAAACTTCACAAAATCGATTTTATTTTTTCCTGAGCTTATTTGAGGAGAAATTTCAAAATAAATGTCACTTAATCGTGAACACTTTTTCTACTCTGCAAGACATTATCAATTTTAAAATTTGATGTTTCGCCTTCAGGCCACTCTACTATTCTCGGCATTTTAAGTCACTCTGCCCAACTAATAATCAGACACCTCAGTGATTTAAAATAGTTTTGATTCACTGTCGGTATTTTTCCTTGAACTTTATTTTTCAAATTTCCACAAAATGGGATAAAATTTTGTATACATCACGTGAGTTGAAATCTTTATTCATTCAAAGAAAATTTCTTGTCATGAATAAACATTCATTCAACTCACTTGGTGTATAAATAACTATTAAATACGGACCCTTATTTTTTATTTTAGATTTTATATAAGCTTCTGATGTCTCAAAACCAATGACGTATTGCACTTATTTGATTTATTATTTTTTTCGAATAAATGCGATACGTCATACTCTTAGGGCCAATACTTTTGCTCTCGATTAACGAATTTGATACGTTGTCAAAATTTTGCATGGGTCAAGGTCTATGAAGTATGATGTGGTTAGAGCACATTCTAAGCCCTGATTATTTTTAACGGCTGTCAAATGAGAGCTAAAGTACCGGCAATCAATATCTAAAATAAAAAATCAAGGGCCGTATTTAAAAAAAAAAATTAAGTTGATGATGGTGACCCAAAGACGAAATGTCAGAATTTAAATTTGAAAATGTCATCTTGTAGAGTAGACAAAGTTGTTACCACAGCTTCTCACGATGAAGTGAAATTTATTTTGAAATGTCTCCTCAAATAAGCTCAGGAAAAAATAAAATCGATTTTGCAAAATTTCGGTTTTTTCCGGATATCTTTGAAAGTGTTCGGAATTTTTCAAATGTCAAAATACCATTTTATTGAGCATCAAATTGCGCAACTTTTTTCTAATCTAACCAACATTGTAACTCCAACCGTTCCCTAGATCCTAATGCTATGCCATCCTTATTTTGGACACACTGTATAATGTGTTTCCGCTCAACAATTTTGTTCCTGCCGAAGCCAGGTCCCATCAAATGACTGGCAAGATATATTTTTTAGTAATCGTAATTATTAGTGAAATGCTAAAAAAAAATTAACTTTTATAATTTATATCAATTGATATTTTTTTTTTTACATAAAAAATATTATGGCAGGAGTGTATAGGTCTACCAAAAAAGTGGCAGGAGGTCGTTTTATGTTTTATTTAAATGTTATTAAAAAATTGATAAAGTTTCAACTTTTATTATTTTCAACAATTAAACTTTTTTTTTTGACGTAATTAACATATCGCGGTCAATCAGTGTCCCGCTGGTACCCCTGCAGGAATCCATTTTAGTTTTCTATGGCTCCGAGATGATCCAAAAAAAGTAAAACTAATCGTTATGAAATCACACAAAATTTAGTGTCGCCAGCTCCCGTACTATACGGAGAATATACTACTACTTGTAGTAGTAGCAGATACTTCGTTTTTATTCATACTACCCATTGAGTATGAGTATGAGTATGAGTGTTCAGGTTTGTTTTTTATGTTGTTCGGGGCAGCACTTCCTGCTCTGAGGCGTTCTTTTGTGAGCGTTTTATATGGGTTTATCTGTAATATTACGGCTTAATTCAAGTTAGTGCGATACAAACAAACAAACCGTTCAGTTCCGTGCTCTTGCTAGTTGGCAACCCTTCGTCATAGCCTTCGTTCTTCCTTTCTGCTTTCCAGTGCCTAAATTGTTAAGAGTATCATGCTCCTGGAGTGTGACGCTCTTGAACTGTTCGACATAAGCAGCACTGGACTGACTGGAACGCTTAACGCTTTCGTCTTAACCACCACCATTTCGGAATTCAGGAGCTCTCTATGGCATGGAACACCGAAATAAAGGTTGGTGCACGAGGGGGCAGGGGATAACAGAAACGAGTAGTTCAAGTGTACGACACTCTAAGAACTGGAACGCGCAAAGTCATTGTGGAGCAGTCCTAAGCTGCTCAAGAGTAACTCAAATGGGTCAGTGGAAAGCACTTGACTTTTTTTGAGGATCCATGACACTATTAATTGACATGAATGTCTACAGACAGAATCAAAACAAACTTTTCCTAGACCTAAATTTTTTGAAGAAATAGGTAATAAAAAAAAAATCTAAATAAGGAAGGTGATGTATTAAATCTATTTCAAGGTGATCACGAAGTTAACCTTGCCCAGTTGCACACCCAATTATTCCAATCAAAACATAAAAATCCACCCAAAATGGGTCTTTTTGGAAAATCGCCTCAGAGAAACCCAAAAGATATGGTCACCGAATGGAACCACAAATTAAGAAAAGAAGGATACCAATTAGATCGACAAATTACCGCTATTAAAAGAGAAGAAGAAAAAGTGAAGCGCTCCCTGAAAGAAGCGGCAAAAAAGGATGATAAAGATACTTGCACTATACTAGCCAAAGAAATCCTTAGAGCTAGAAAGGCAGTAAACAAAATCTACACATCGAAAGCCCACCTCAACTCGGTAATGTTACAAATGAAAAACCAATTGGCAACTCTACGAGTTGCAGGCTCTCTACAAAAATCCACAGAAGTGATGCAAGCAATGCAGTCGCTCATCAGAATCCCTGAAGTGGCACACACTATGCAGGAAATGTCCAAAGAAATGATGAAAGCGGGTATAATTGAAGAAATGCTTGATGAAACTTTTGAAGACATTGAAGACACTGAGGAAATGGAAGAGGCAGCACAATCTGAGGTGGACAAAGTATTATTTGAAATTACAGAGGGTAAAATTGGGGAGGCTCCATTGCCTCCATCAGAACCAGCGGAGAGAGTTAAAGAAGCTGGCCCTAGTGTTGAGGAAGAGGATGAAACAGAACTTGAGGATATGCAGACTAGGTTAGCTGCATTAAAGTCATAAGTTGGTGAGTCGAATCATTTTGTCAATGAGAATCAGCAAAAACTTGTAATTGGGTCCCCAGAGTTGTAAAAAATATGTTTTTGTGTCACACCTTAAATGACTCAGTAGATAGATGATTAGCAAATAGTAGGTATAAGTGCCTAAATAGGTTAAACTAATAAGCTAATTTATGATGAATCATTTTTTAATATCTAGTTATCACATTTATGACTAATTGATAACGGTGGTAAAACGCTCTAGTGCAACAGGTAGTTTCTTATAAACTGCATTCCTAATGTAGGTAGCCTTTTTGGACCGATTTCGATATAAAAATATGCGGATTATATTAGTTTTCAAGCAAAATCTATAAAATAGTGGTTCTATTTTGAGGTGCGAAGTATTGGGTTTTGATGCGGCAATCCTATCAATATGGCGACCTAGGTCAGCAGTCAAATTAGCGCCATAAGGATTTCATTTACCTTCAAAAAACTGTGACGTTTTGTATCATATCGTTTTTGGTGGATTCCCGTTTCGTTACAGTTCGTTTAAAAGTGGTATAAGTGTACTGGAGGCGTATTCTGTAAACGAATAGAAATAGACATAGAGAAGAGATAGACATAGAAAGGAAATATAAAAAACTAATTCTGTAAGCATCTTTCCAAGTTGATTCGGGTGAAGTCGAAATAGAAATATCGTAAACTATCCGACGTGAAAACATTGCGCTTTCCTAGAGAGTTTCATTACATTCATACATTTATGTCTCAGTCCACATTTAGCAGGGCATTAACTGATGAACTATATTTGGCTCTAGAGGCCATTTCTCCCAATGACCTCTATTGCTCCTCAGTGGGTTAAATTTTCCCTACCCGAGGCTGAGAAGCAGCTCAGAAAGAGAAATTCATGGCCCAATTCGAATTTCCGGGAGTGATACGGTGTATAGATGGTACCCACCACTTACCCTTTTGTGATTTGCGCTATTTTACCACAGTATTTTTACTGAATGCTACGGCTAAAATAACATTTCAGGAAAAGGGAAATATTAAAGGCGGTTATTTTACTTCCCGAATACGAAATTAGGAAATATTCAAAACAGCACTATTCAAAATATGTCAAAACCTTTGACAAAACTACAAAACATAACCACTAATAAACAAAACATAAACTCTGACAGAAATTAAACGTTTCACTATAATGTGTTAGAAAAAGATAGAAAGACTTTTTCTATTACAGAAAGACCTAAACGGGTCTTTCTATTTCTCTATGCCGACCGAAAACCGAACGGGACTCGAGTGCTGCGAATTGGCATACAGAATAAGGTTTTGTGATAATAAATAGTAACCCCTCGTTTTTATTCTCATCGGTGACTTCACCGATGAGTTAGCTATCTTTGTTTAGTGAATGGAAAATGACAATGACGGCCATAGAATGGTGGATCCATCGGTAAAATTTGATGAGAATAAAAACGCAGGGTATATTACAATCCGAGACGGGAAATGATTCATTACTGGTCGAGAGGTTTTATAGTTTATCGAGACGCGTAACCTCGAGACAGCAATGAAGTTTCCCGTCGAGGGTTGTATTTTATTTTTAACCATAATTTCTTGAAAAAAAAAAAATTCGGGGCAACCAAATGAGGTCGGCAAATGAAGAGGAAAATGAGAACGGGAAATATTTCCCTGCTCCATTTTCCGTTCGTGGACGGGAAATGAGGACGGAAAAAATTTCCCGTCCTCACTTCCCGTCCTGGGACAGGTAATGGAGCAGGAAAATGAAGAGACAGAAATGTGACATTTTCAAATTTTTGAAAAGTCAGTAATGACAACATTTCATATATGGTTAAAAATAATAGTATATTACATACCGAGGTGGAAAGTGTTTCATTACTGTCGAGAGATTTAAGTTAGACCGAGGCGCAGCCGAGGTCTAACTGAAATCTCGAGACAGTAATGAAACTTTTCACCGAATTTTAAAAATTTCATTCACTTTCGACCCACGGGTCGAAAGTAAACTTTCGACCCGTGGGCCGAAAGTAAAAGTCAAAAAAGTGACATTTTCGAACTTTTTAAAAGTCAGTAAAGTCAACATTACATGTATGATTGTAAATAATAGTATATTACATACCGAGGTGGAAAGTGTTTCATTACTGTCGAGAGATTTAAGTTAGACCCGAGGCGCAGCCGAGGTCTAACTGAAATCTCGAGACAGTAATGAAACTTTTCACCGAGGTATGTATACTATTTTATTTACAATCATTCGAATTTTGAAATTTTCATTTTGATTAAAACTAAAAAATACAATAATTAACAATTTCATTTACTTTCGGCCCACGGGTCGAAAGTTTACTTTCGACCCGTGGGCCGAAAGTAAAAGTCAAAAAATACAATAAATTTTAAAAATTTCATTCACTTTCGGCCCACGGGTCGAAAGTTTACTTTCGACCCGTGGGCCGAAAGTAAAAATCAAAAATACAATAAATTTTAAAAATTTCATTCACTTTCGACCCACGGGTCAAAAGTAAACTTTCGACCCGTGGGCCGAAAGTAAAAGTCAAAAAAGTGACATTTTCGAACTTTTTAAAAGTCAGTAAAGTCAACATTACATGTATGATTGTAAATAAAAGAAATTTCTTGCCTAGAAAGAATTTTCTATGTCTATGGCGTTACAGAATATTATTATTATTAAATCCTTTATTTAGCATAAAAATTGCTAGTTTACAATAGTACAGAATATAAATATACAACTTGAAAAGTAACTAAGAAATAAAATGTAAAATAATTCATAAAATAAATAAACCAACAGAGCAAAACTTATCACAAACAATACAGTAATTTAAAAGTTATCACAGGATCCAGTATGTCACAATTACTTAGCATATAAATTTTTAATCAAATTTCACAGTTTTAGCATTTTACAAAGCAAATCACATTACTCAGAAACAATCAATCAATCAATATAAACGGAAATCATAACAAAACAATTAAAAACATCCTTGCAAAATACAATTGTACAATTATTAAAATGGATAAAGACAAGAGTCAGAATGGACAAAATGGACAAAAACCTGATCAAGATGTCTCGCTAAATACACAAAGACTATGTTGACTTAGGAAACAAGATCATTTTCCCTAAGAAAAAACAATTTTAAATTTTTCTTGAAACCATTCAGGGATAAACTATTTTTAATATTATTAGGTAACTTATTAAAATCATCCAGACCTTTAAAAAAAAACAGAATTTCCAGCAAGCTTTTTATTTCTACGTTGTATATAGAAGTTCTGCTGCTGCCTTGTATTATGACCGTGGACTTGGTTGTTAACTGTTAATTTGTTTTTCAAATAGGAGGGTGCATTACCTACTTTTATTTTGAAAATGAAAATTAAGACGTACCGAAAAAATTCCTGCACAGGGAGCCATTGCAGTTGTCTAAGCATGGTCTTAATGGAGGTGTACTTATCACATAATAGTATTATTCTCATAGCGCGGTTTTGCATTTTCTGTAAGCGGTTTATTTCATTTTGTTGCAACAAATACAAAATTGTTGCACAGTATGTAAAGTGTGGTAACACCAATGCATTAAAAACTACTAATCTTGACCATCTTGATAAACTATGCGAACATCTGCTAAGGTGACTAATTCCATAGCTTATTTTTGAGATAGTTAAGTTGCAGTGCTCCTTAAATGACATTTTGTCGTCTATAACTACACCTAGATATTTAATTTTTCTGACACTAGCTAAAGCCTCGTCACCCATTACGATATTATGTTGGTTAACCAGAAATAACTGCTTTATGCTTTCCTTTGCGATTACAATATATTTTGTTTTACTCTTGTTAACCTTAAGAAGATTTCTCTTGCATTACTGATCAATTTTCCCTAAAACAGTATTTATTTTAATAACTAAATGTTCAATGTTTTCAGAAGATCCATAAAGCAAGGTATCATCAGCGAAAAGATGTAACCCCAAATTATCCTCATCATTAACCACATTCACCATATCATTCACATAAAGCACAAACAAAATAGGGCCCAACACACTCCCCTGCGGAACTCCCAACTAGAAATTTGCTCAGACATTTTTCCATTCAATTTCACAAGTTGTCTTCTGTCTGTTAAGTAACTACGAAACCACCTCATTACTCTTCCAGATACTCCCATCTTTTCAAGTTTTCAAGTAGTTTGCCTCTATCTATTGTCTCAAAAGCTCGTTGGACTTCTAGAAACACTGCGATTGTACTTTTATTGCTGTCGAAACTATTTTTCCATTCATCCAGAACAAACTGGATTGCCGTCTCACAACTGTGCCCTTTTCGGAAGCCCGATTGATGTTCAGTAATTAAATTACAGTTTTCCAGATACTCAACAAATTGACTATACACAACTCTCTCAAAGATTTTTTCAAGGACCGGAAGAGTATTGATTGGGCGATAATTCTGTGCTTCAATTGAGTTTGGTTTCTTCTCTACAGGGACAACTGTAGAAAGCTTTAATAAATCCGGGAAAACACTCTGCTCCAATGAAGAATTTATCAGATTTATGAGTGGAAGTTCGATTACAGGATGCACGTGTTTGAAGAAGCCAACATCAACATCGTCAGGACTGCTTTTATTTTTTAAAGAAAATACGATACTGCTTAGATCTTCCAAGCTTATCAGTTTAAAATCGCAAAAAGATGTTGGTTTCCTGCTTGTATCTATACATTCATTTTCTAAATTGACTGTATCAGAATCGGTATTATTACTATCAATTCCTGAAACAATATCATGAACGCTTTGAACATAAAACCGGTTTAATCTGGAAGGTGATATTAATTCATCCTCTTCTATTTCACCATTAAATTCTATTCTACGTATTTTTCCTGATTTCTTATTTTCAGGCAAAACCTGTCTCAATGTTGCCCACATACTTTTAGGATCATTCTTACATTGATCAACCTTGTTCTCAAAAAATAGCCTTTTTTCTTCTCTTATAATTCTCACTACCGCATTTCTACTTTGTTTATAGACCCTATGACTTTCTTCAGTTTT